TGTGTGTGTGTGTGTGTGTGTGTCAGATGTCAACTCAGCTCAGGAAATCCCTGCCCTTGTCTCCCACAGGTTGCTGGAGAAACCACGATGAGGCGAGAGAAGTTCAAACAATAATAGGAGGATGAATAAAAAAATACCTGTGAAATTAATGAGTTTTTCAGAGGAGAAAGCAGGGTCACACCTAGTAACTCCTACATCTCCCACAATAATAAAACAAAAACATTCACACACTCAAGAGGACGAGTGAGAGGGACACACGCAAGAGTATGTCCCCAAAGCTGTTTGCGTGTTTGTTTGTCTATGTACAAACACTCACTTTGTTTCCTGTTTAGCAACACCTCCCAATCCCTATGATGTCACACTGCCAGCTTTCATTGGCCGGTACAGGGTCCCCAGGACCATGTCTGATTGGCTGAGGGGCCTGCTGACGGGCATTCTAACATTGTTTGTACTTTTCCACTCAGTGATGCAGAAAGGATGAGCAAAAGAAGCGAGGAGAAAAAATGCAAGTCTCTCTCTCTGTTCATCTTTCTCTTCATTCCTCTGGTGGATGTGCTGGATAATTTGTGACACACTGGGTTGCATTGCTGACCCCAAAGCACACATTTGTGCCTCAGAGTGAGGCAGACAGTCACATGGAATGGAGTCACACACAGGGACCATTAATGCAGAGTCTGTTTGTTGTTCGCTAGGACATTCTGATACTCTGAGCTACACAAGACATGATTCCCTGAATGCATGTGAGCTCACACAGCTGAGCACTGTGTGCTTTAGCACTCCCACTTCCTGCAATTACTCTCAGAAACGCCATTGGGACAAGATTAGTGTCTAAAAGACTTTGTCACACTTTATGGCATATCTTGTAATTTGTGATTAAAAATCTTTTTAGCATTTAAAATCAATTCATTCATAAATACTTAGGATGCAAATATGAATCAGTTCAATTGATTCACTGAAAAGTAGGGCTGGGTATCGAGTTCGATACTTTTTAGGCACCGACCGAATTGCCTCGATACCATCGAGTATCGAAAAACATCTCGTCGTTCGGTACCACATTTCGATACCTAAGGGGTTAATCTCATCAGCGTCAGTGAGCCAATGAAGGCCCGGGTATACTTCACTTTCTGCATTCCGTTCCGTCTTGCGCCCAGCCGCGTCCGCACAGCTTTCAAAGTATACTCAACCGCGGATGGACGAGCTCGACACAGGCACAGTTTGACTTGTATTCTGTCTCAACTTTCACCTCGCGCATGCGCTGTTGTACGTGGACCATCCGCGCAGTCTCAAAAAATTGCCTGCACGCGGATGGGGTGCGCGGCTGTCCGCGAGCCCTCCTGATGACAAAAATGAAGTAATGTGGACGCGGACGGTCAAAGTATGCTTTGGCCTTAAGCCTGCAGCACTAGCCGGTGTGTTCGACTAGAAGAGGTGAGGCGCAGATCGATCAGTGTTTGACATCCGCGAGAGCGATTCGAAAGCGCACAGAGCAGTCTGCTATGGAGACAGATCAGCCTCAAAAATAACACATATGCAAAACAAAATTCATAAATGCACAGCACAATTTACATTTACAAAATCCGATTCGTAAATTCAAAACACAATTCATAAATACACAAGTAAAAGCATAAATATTTCCCCAAATGCTCACACAAATGCATCTTACCTAAATAAATTTAAAATGTTTACACAAATATGTATATATCAAGTTCTTGAATTAATTTCCATCACACATTTATGAATAATGGTACATGTATTTATGGATCGTTGAATCTGCATTTGCAAATCGTCACACATGCGTGGACTGCTTTGAATTTGTGTGTGGTATTTTTGAGACCTTCTTGGCAGGTTAAGATTCATAAATATCTTTTTTTGGAGGATGTTCCGTTCAGCCAATCGCGGTGAGCTTTTAATCCACCAATCAAAACACTCTTTACTGAA